TTAGAGGTTCCCTTATTTCCTGCAGGGTCCTTTATTTCGGGCAGGTTCCTTATTTTCCTGGCTAGGTTCATATTTCTTGACAGGTTCCTTATTTCCTGGCATGCAGATTTCGGTACCTTGTGCTGGTGGAGTAAGAGCCGCCCAGGATGACGTAAGCCTCCTCATCCTCCTCGTCTTCATCATAGTCATCATCATATTTATCATCATAATCATGTCGTCATCCTCCTCCTCCTCCTCCTCATTGCTTTCTAGCGGCAGACGGATACTGTCTCTCTCGTTGAGCACTGTGTGCGTAACATCCTACAAGTGTTGTTCTTGCAACACTCTGCTCCCTCCCCTCCCTTCCTCTCGACTTCTATCCGTCTCCTTCCTGACAATTCTCATGCTTCAGACATTCATTGTCGACGTCGCCTCCTCTGCTTTCTCTCAGTGCATTCCCAACGGCTTTGCGGACAGCTCCCTGCTCTCGCGACAACAGCTCAAGGTAGGCGGGGGGCGAGGAAGCGAGGAGGGAAAGGAAGAAGCGAGCAGGGAGAGGAGGAGGGAGGGAGGAAAGGAAGAGGGGTTGATGATAAGGGAGGGAGAGAGGAGAGGAGGGCAAGAGAAGAGGAGGTTCCGATATCACAGGATATGAATGAAAGGAGCTTCATGAAGTTCAGAACTTGTTTGACGTCTTTGCAGGCTCTTTCTGATGTTTGCAATTCCGAGATCTACCGGTGTGTCTCCTCCTCTTGCTCCTCTTCCACCTTGTCCCTTCCTCCCTCCCTCTCTCCCTCCCCTGTTTTGCTGTCAGCTGCCTTTTCAGCAATCCTCGTCTCCCCTCCTTCACCATCTCCTTTTCTTGCCACCTCCTCTCCTCCTCCTCCTCCTCTCCTCCTTCTCCTCCTCCTCTCCTCCTTCTCCTCCTACTCATTACTTGACCATCATCGCATTGATCTGACCCCTTCGGCAGCATCTGGTATCACTTCCGCCTGAGAGAAGGAGACGGTTCTGTCGCTCCCGTCATCATCTTCATCGTCTATATGGTCTCTTCCTCTCCCAACCCCTGCTGCTGCTCCTCCTCTCCCTCCTCCTCTCCCTCCTCCTCTCCCTCCTCCTCTCCCTCCTCTCCCTCCTCTCCCTCCTCTCCTCAACATCCTGACAGTCGTCTCAGGGCCTGACGAGCATCGAGACGGTCATGTACTACACCTACATCCTCAACTTCCATGAGGACGGGAGGATCCTGGACCTCTACAGGAGGCTCATCGCGTGAGTCCCTCCTTGGACCCTTCCCGCGTCCTGCCCCTCACGTTTTCCGCTCGCAGAAAGGAGGGGACGCTGTTCTGCCCCCTCGACGTCGAAGTCAGCCCTGCTGAGCTCATGACTATCCTCCAGGTCTGCCTGCTCTGCTCCTCGTCCCCTTCTTCTGTTCCCCTCCTAGCGCCATGAGTTACATCTACCCTCCTCCTCCTCCACCTCCTCCACCTCCCCCTCCCCCTCCTCCTCTTCCTCCTCTTCCCCCTTTCCCTCTTCCTTTCCCTTCCGCCCCCCCCCACCCCACTCGCCTGCTTTTTCCTCCTCTTTCTGCTCTCGGCTCTTGTTTCTTCCTCTTTCCTCTACCTCCCTTGGGGTGCCTCATTGATGTTTGATTTGTAATTAATCTGAGCAGATGGAGGGGGGAAAGATGGGAGGATGAAGGTACAGCATGGGCTGCTGCTGCAGACCAGGGGAAAGAGAGAGAGGAAGGGGGGTGCGAGAGGAAGGGAGAAGGAAGGAGTGAGGAAGGGAGAGGGAGGGGGAGAGAGAGGGGGGGGAGGGGAACGAGAAGGACGAGGAGGATGTAATGATTTGTCTGCTAACTTTACTCTAGGAATTTAGTTGTCACAGAGATCAACGTCAATTATGAGAGCGAAAGTGAGGAGGAGACTCAAGCTTCCTCCTCCTCCTCTACCTCAAAAAGCTATACCCACATGGCGATATACACGTAGGAACTCCCCATCTTCCCCTGCCTCCCTCCCTGCTTCCCTCCCTGCCTCCCCTCCTTCCTGCCTCCCTTCCTTCCTCTTTCGTACTCCCATCCCCTCTTCCCAACCACCCCCCCCCTCCCCCTCACTCTCCTCTCCTTCCTAGCTGATGGCGCCTGATCGACCTCAGGTGCCAGAAGGAAGGGAAGCGCTTCCTTCATCGCCACTTCCTCCGCTTCCCCACAGGCAGCACCCGAGCGGTTCCCTCCTTGCCAGCATGACGAGATGCTGCAGGGGCCCTGGCGGAGCTCGTGGGGGATGAGGTGGAGTACCTCGTCTCCGCCTCCATCGTCTCTTCCATCCACAGGATCGTCGAGAGCTATGAGAGAGGTCTAGAGCACTTACTCCCTCCTCCCTCCTCCCTCCTCCTCTTGTACCTCTAAACCTTCGTTCCTCCTGCCCCCCACTTTCCACCCGCCTTCACTTGACTCTTCAGCTTCTCATCTTCTCCTTCCCATCTCAAATGCCAGCAGGCGAAGCTGCATGATGTGAAGGAGTTCAGCCAGGACGCGACGGGCTTTGAGCTTGTGTACATTGAAACATTGCCGGAAGCAACTTCTCTGCTATCATACACACAGTTCACGCTCTCCTCCTCATCATCGGCTTCGCTGATTGTCCCAGGGATTTTCTGAGCCTGGCTGGCAGCTCCTGTACCATCAAGTCACGAGCCTCCGCCTCCCTCCCTGCTCCTCCCGCGGCCTCGTCCCTTCTCTGCCTCTTCCTCGTCGTTTTGACACTCTCTTTTCCCTCCCTCTTCCTCCTCGCTCCCCGTCAAGCCTCCTCTCACCTCCATTGTGTCATCGTCCAGCTCCGACAGCGACGCGATACTCTCCTTCAAGGTGAACCAAAGGCGGTCGAGCTTGGCGACCTGCGCAGCAGAGTTAACCAGCCGAAGGTCAATGAGACGCAGAGAAAGACGGGGTAAGGGGAATCAAGAGCAGCTGAGGCAGCAGGAAAGAACCTTGTTGTATGAGAGCTTGATCGCCTCCTTCCTCTGCTTAGCCTCTTCCCACCTAATCATCCAGCGAGTGAGCATAGAAACACAGGAAAGGAGGATGACATGAGGGGGAGGGAGGAGGAGGAGGGGAGGAAGGGAGCAGGGAGGAGGAAGGGAGCAGGGAGGAGGAAGGTAGCAGGGAGGAGGAAGGTAGCAGGGAGGAGGAGGAGAGGGTCCTAACCTCTTGTCTGCCGCGATCTCACCCTCAGTCAGATCTTCCTTGCCGAAGGATGGGGGAGCGATGCCCCACTCAACCACGCTGTGCAAACGACACGAGAGTCAACATGAGAGCGAGAGGGGGGTGGCGAGGAAGGGAGGAGACATGAAGGAAACATTGAGGTGAAGCAGAAATGAAAGTGCCAGGAACACGAGTGAGAGGAGGAGAAGGAGATGACCTTCGTGTTACGATGTCAACACACTCAGCAGAGTTCTTGCTCAAGACGTCATCATTCACCACCTCGTCCCACTGAGAACAGTCAGCCGCCTCCTTCCCTCCCTTCTCCCCTCCTCCTTCCCTCCCTTCTCTCGTTCTCTTTACCTGGCATGGCTCCCAGTAATCGTACGTGGGCACACGAATCAGGCGGCACTGGATAAACGTGAGGAGGAGAAGGGGAGCAAGGGAAATTGCAAGGGAAGATAGACGAGTACAAAGGTAAGAGTCAAGAGGTGAAGAGATGAAGAGGCGAGGGGAGGGAGGAAGCAGGAACGAGGAAAGATGAAGAAGGAGGAGCAAGGGGGAGGAGGAAGAATGCTCTTATGACAGGATCTTACTTGATCTCCACCCCCCAGCACGTTCCCATCGTCATCGAACATGATTGTGCGAGATATTGACACCCATGACATTCCGGAATCCTTTGAAAGCTCATCGCACACAAACTGGGCAGCAAGTCAGCTCCCCCCGCCTCACTCGCTGACACGGCAGCTGACCTGCAAGCTCTTCCTTGCAGCAAACTCAGGGTGTCCATCCTTACAGTCCTGCCTCGAGAACAGTCTGTAGATGAACTTGAAACCTAGCACCGCCCCTCAGCTTTCTGCATTAAGGAAAGCCCTCAAGTACCTGCCACCTCCTCCATCGCGGCACAAACTTTGCTCGCCCATGCCCGTTCGGAGTGCGTGTACACCTGAAGATCCTGTGTCAGCCTATCCCCTCGCTCGATGAGACTCCTCCTCATCCTACCACAATCGTGGCCCCGATTTCACGTAGATACTGAATCATGCTGATCAAACTGCCGCGTACACGTCAATCCCTGCTCACATCTTCCTCCTCCTGCTCTTCCTCCTCACCCTGGGCGCAACATCCCTCGCTTCAGAAAGGGAACGATCTCGTCTGCGTTAAGCCCATGGTGCCTCCCCTCCGGCCACCAAGTCCAGTCGACATTCGTCTCAATGTTGTCCCTGCGCAAGGCAAGGCACGAGTCAGAACACCCCGAGGAGGACATCAGATTCAAGTCACCGATCGGACAGAGCCACCAGGTCACCGACCATCGTTCTGTCCATGTCAAACACGACCAGCAGCTCTTCACCGATCTTGGAGGTCGAGTGCTCTTCGTGGTCCTCCTCCTCCTCATCATCCGATTCCACAGCGATCGCGAGCTCCGATTGAGTTCTCTTGAGACTCGAGGTGGGTGTGACTGTCCCTACCGTGTGATCCAACGTGTGGTGTTTGGCATCATGCTCCTGATGCTTGGCTGCGGTTTCCTCCTTGGCTACTGGCGCAGCTTCTTCCTCCTCGTCGTCGAGGTGAAGGTTCGACATGGACATGAACTTCCGTGAGAGAGTGCGGTGCTCTTCATGTCCGGCTCCCTGCTTGTGATGTCCATTGGCCGCGGTGGGCGACAGGCTGAATTTCTGCCCATCAAGTGACGAGTTGCGGCATGGCTTCACTTGTGGGGATTTGATGTGCATAAGAAAATCGTCGTCCTCATGCTCCTCGTGGTCCAAGAGTTCGATCTTAGTCTCGGGAAGATGCGAAGCTGAATCTCCTGTTCCCATGGCAAGACTGAGAGATGTGCGTCAAACGCGATTAAGAGCTTGAACCAAATGTATACTTTCTCAAAGTTCGGAATCGGCTTCTGACGATTTGCTACTGCGACGGCTGACACCTCAAATGTTCCTCCTACAAGTAAAAGGAAGCTTAGAAAGAATGTCGCGAATCGATGAAAGCAAAACATCTCCCTTCTGCTTGTGTGTGATTGCAATGATGCGTCTAATGGTGTAGACAAAGCAGAACAATCTGCCTCTCACCCTATCTGAACTGTTCAAACGCACAACAGATGCATGATCTGCTATCTACATGTCACTCCTGCTGCTCGTCTTTGACATCCCCTAATCCATCCCTTCCCATGTCCACCCTTGACGCGCAGCATTCCATGTGCCTGAGAGCAGCATGTGCAGGGGATACCTTCCTATCGATATTACAACAATATTTTAGTCAAATTAATTACAATAGTATTCTGGTAGGTCTTTTATACACGTGAAGATCACCCCTACATTCTCGGGTATTTAGAGGGGTAGTCTGAGGGTATGCCTGCTTCCGTTCTCCCGGCTTTGGGCGGTAGACAGTGGGGGTAGGGGGCGATGAGATCCCCATGTGAGGCAATTGAAGGGGGTGGGGTTCTTCACGGAGGGGTCCTATGAAAGTGAATTGATATGAGGGGTCCTTGAGATGAGAGTACCTACCCTCCTTTCTGGAAGTTGCATTCGGTGAGATGCTGGGGAAAGGGGGTACCTCACAACAAGGAAGATTGTGGAGGATGGTGGGGTACATTTAGGCCATCTCCAGAAGCGCAGGGTGGGGTACCCATACTAAAAGTATTTTATTTTGAGCCGGTTTGAAGCCATGAAGGGTCATGATAGGATAAGATGGGGTGAGGGTGGTACATAATGAGGGACTCAAGGGTAAATGGTGGGGTATTATGAGGTTCCAAATGGGGTGGTCTGTCCTAATTGGTGCATTCGTCTCGGGGTACGGGGTAATGTGGATACCGGTCACTCGAACTACCCCCATGGGGGTGATTTTGTACCTTTGCATCTGTTCGAAAAATGGGGTGGGATGGCGGAGTCAGGGTCTTGAGGTGGAGAAGGGGGAGGGTGGGGGTAGTCCTTTGTTGAAGAAGGTGCAGCCGACCGTAGCTTCAAACTCACCGGGCCCCCGGCCCGGCCCCGGCCCCCGCCGGGCCCGGCCGGGGCCGGTGGGGGCCGGCTCCGAGTGCGGACTGATAACCGACGGTGGGACTCTTGTGACAACTTGTACTTACTTTTAACTTAGTAACTTTGAGAAAAAGTCTTGTCCGATCAACTCTCAGACTCCTAACTTAGGCTCCGCTGACGGTCTCGGAGTGAGTAACCCAGGTCGAGTGACCGGCATGGACTCAGTCGGGCCCAGCCGGTCCCCAGACTCGCGTGTAGCCTAGCATGATGTGATTTTTTGAAATTTCAAGATAAGGTTGATTTTGACAACTTGTAGATAAAACTTCAAATTAAATAACAAATGTTCAAATAAGAATTGGACCGTACTGGGGGATTCGTTCCTGCCGTTGGCTTGTGGCATCTGTCTCAGTGAGATGGGGGGGTAGGGGGTGATAATCTTATATCGATCACCCCTACTTTATACCAGGTAAACCCCCTCAACACACGGGGTAGTCTGACTCATCTATCATACGATCCTAACCCTTTGAACTATGCAACTGGGCTGGCAGCCAATGAGCGGCAGGGCGTCAGAAACCAATGAACTGACAGGAGGAAGAGGAGGAAGAGGAGGAAGAGGAGGGGAGAGGAGGAGGAGGAGGAGGAGGAGGAGGAGGAGGAGGAGGAGGAGGGGTTCTCCTGAGGAGGAGGGGGATAGGATGAGGGGAATGGGAATGGGAATGAGCGATGAAGCGAGATGAAGGCAGCAGGTTTGCAGGACGAACTATTCTGAGCTGGAGGGCAATGCTTGAAGTTACTTGACTATGAGAGGATGTCAAGGACGATAGGGTTGTCAGGGGATATACGATGACTTGCATGCAAACTGATGTCTTCTTCTGCAGATTTTCGTCCTGGAAGATGGAGGTATCGGACAAAGAGAACTTGGTTCAGCCCGAGAGCACCACCAACTGGCTGAATGGCCGAAAGATGAATCTTCTGTCGAATGTTGCGATCGGAGGGAAGGCGGGCCTGCAGTTGAAGAGCAATCACGGGGACTCGCACGCGAGCATGCAAGACGAGTCTGGTCACGAGATGAAGAAGAGCAACAAGAGAGTATGCTTTGAGATCGATCAGAACGTGATCGCAAACCAGAACATCTCCTCGTTGCAAGCAAACGTAATATCTAGAGAGCCCAAGGTCTTTCGTGTGCTGCCCGAGAAGAGGAGCCAGGCAGAAGACGATGAGGAGGTCGTGGAGACTGAACCACAACAAGACATGTGTCAAGGCATCGAGGAATCCGAGGGAGAGTTGAAGGGGGGAGAAGCAGTTTCGAATGAGGAGGAAGAAATGGAAGGTGTTGTGCATGAAAAGGTGGAACATGTCAATCCAGCACAACCGAAAGAGGACAAAGAGAACTCGCAGGTAGACGACAAACAGACCGATAAGCCTCCAGCGTCTGGTAGCTCCTTTCTTATCCTTGTAGCTTTTGTTGACGCTGGCAGTCTCAGCCGTCGATGGTGCGAACGAGGGAGTTTGTCGTGGACCGAAGAAAGAGCACAACTTGCGCATAGTCAGCCTTGCTATGATGTCAGATGGTGCGATGATTGACTTGAGCTCAGGCGGTTCAGAAGAGCAGGCGGTCGGAGGAGAATCGAAGTCTCCTGGAGATCTCGTCTCCTGCTACTAAGACGATCTCCTTCAAGAAATCAGATGAGCCGATGAGAGATAAGCTCGTCGTCGTCGAGAGCCTCGGCCTCACTCTCGTCAACTCAGACTGCATGGATGTGCTTGTTGCCCATGTGGACAAGAACCGAAACGCGTACAAGGCAGGTGTGAGATCAGGAGATCTTGTTGTCTCTCTCTGCTTCAAGCTAGAGGCGTCGACGACGTTGCAAGAGGTGATATGATGTACTGATGTGCTTCAATGTTGTCTCAACCAACCATCAGCTTCGCCCTGACCTTGCGCTCTTGGTAGGTGCAAGAACGACTGCAGACTATGGAGGACGACGATGTCGTGATCATCGAAGAAGATCAAGAGCTGGTAGCAATCGCCAAGTCGGACGAGAAGATCCAGCGAGTGCTCGCAGGGAGATCCTCGCACGACAGGTTGGTGGCTCTGGGGAGCAAGAGGATATCGGGGATGCATGTCAAAGAGATTGGGAACCTGTTTGCCAGCGACGGCAGCCTTGCCATCATCCTGGGACTCGCTGTGAACCTCGAGAGGCTGAATGTTTCCATTCAAGATTTCGCCAGCGACTATGAGGGGATGGTGGAGAGCTCGGACTCAATCGTCAGGTGCATGAAGTGGATTCAGGTTGACGTCGGCGCCGCATGTGCGACCGAGGAGCACAGGTTCTGTCCTTCCCAAGGCAGTGCCACAGCAGCAGGAGCAGGAAGCTCCCGGGGGCTACCCAGTCAAACGGCAGATGAACCAAAGATAGAGAACAAGGCTGCAGCATTGTTTCATGCTCCCTATGATGACGTTTCCATGCATCACACTCGATTGCCTGTGGCTCGCGGCCCAGGAGCCGAAGACCTCTCCTTCACCCCAAGGCAGCAGCTTGTGAGACAAGAGAAGCGATCAGTTCCGGACTACCTCTCGTGGCTGGAAGACGTCACCATTACCGACCTCAAGCAGGCAGCCTGGATCCACCACTCCCAGCAGACTCCACTCAGAGACGAGATGCCAAGGGTGGCCAGGCAGGAGGAGAAGATGGAGATCGACGCCATGTGCGTCGCCAGCAGCGCTGGAATCGACGTCATGTCCGCCAAGCAGGTGCCCCTGCCATGAGAGAGTGAGAGCAGCAGGTTGCTCACGTGCCCGTGCAGGTCCTGCGCATGTACAGCATGGACGTTGTGGAGGCGATCTATGCCCTCAAGCATGGGCTCGTTCGCCTGCCCCTCGCAAGAGACGCCTGACGCGTCTCCGGTCAAGCCTCCTTGTACATACCTGATACATTACCAAAAGGACTCTTTCACCCCGTGGACAAGTTTTGTTGCGCATGATTTACCAGCAACAACAGTTCAAACTACAAACAGCTGAGACTTCGCAAGTGAAGTTCTCGAAAAGATTGGAATCAATAAATCAACAGTCGTCTCCCAGAAAAAGATCCTCCTCTCATCGTCTTGATGGCGGAACATACTTGCCCATCGGTCTCGCTTTGTTTCCCGGAGAAGCTTTGGGCGTCGTTACTTTCTGTGGAGTTTTCCGCTCGAGGCTTGGCGACTTCTTGAGGCTCGCTTGGTTCTCGGCTTCTTCTTCTTCGCTGTTACTTGAGGTGCTGTTGCATTCCTCGTCTGGCTTGTTGCGCTCCTGGTTTGCAAACTCCACCTTCAACGTCGTGCAGCCACGTCCCCGGAGCTTCCGGCGCCCAAGCTCCGGGCAAGACGTGGACGTCAACGCCCTCAGCATCCTCCGCACTACCCACGGCACAGTCTGCATCAGCGGGTACCCCTGCTGATGATACTGCTCCAGCCTCTGAGCTACCGCTAGCGGAACGGTCTCCCAGCCGTTGTCTGTCTGAAAGCTCGTAGGCATCAAGATGCTGATCTCTCTCCCCGACGACGGCTTCCAGTCCCGCAAGATCCATCGCTGCACGTCGGTGATGGTGTTCTGACCGGCACATCCCGCACACTCTGCAATCTCCGTCGCACAGTTGAGATCTGGAACAAGAATCACGCTCTGCAGCTCCTGTTGCACAACTGTGCCGGCCCCGCACAGGGCCTGGAACTGATCAGCCACCAGCACGGCGAACTGAACGCTCACTTCCCCCTGATTCTCTTCTTTTGACGAGGGTGCATACGCCCGTACCAAGATCAGAATCTGTACCAAGCAAGCAAGAGCGCTCAGGGGAGCCGCAGGGTAGTGAGAGCGAAGAAAGCTCTTGACGAACCGCAGCGGATCCTCGTGGTTGTTCCTCAGCTTGTTGATGTGCTCCAAGAAGGTCTGGACGAAGATTTTGCCGTACCGCTGCTCGTCCTCCCAGCTGTTGGGGACCAGTCCCTTGTCGCAGATCGCATGCGCATAGAGCAAAAGACCGTTGACCACCACCTTGGGATCATGGACATTTAGTTTGCGATGCGCGATCGTTGCCAACGCATCCTCAAACTTCGTCGCCAGCGATCGCGGCACTATTGCAAACTTCGTCTTCTTCCCATACATCGCATGTTGCCAACCATACTGAGCCGGAGAAGGGAGATTGATCACGAAGGCGTTGGCGTGATCGAAGAAAGACCGCGTTTGCTTGATCTCCGAAGGAGTCCCGCGACAGAACTCCAAGTCAAGGTTCCTGCCTGTTGTCGGATCGCCGATAGAGAGCAGACTGAACGATCCCACGACCACCTGCTTCTGAAAGTAAAAGCTTCGAACAATCGTCGACAGGTCCTTTGAGGGCGGTTGTACTGATCTGCTTTCAAACCACGTTGTGTATGCCTCTATGATAGCTTTCTCCACCACGTCTCTGCACTTGTCGAAGTCTAGCGTGCCGATGTAGAAGCGGAGGTCCAAGTCCGTAGGGACTACCCGCAGATCTTGGATTTTGAAGTCGTGTGCAATCACCGATCTTGCAACGCCGCCATACACTTCCACCACAGTCTCATATTCATTCTCTGAGTTCTTTTCTGCAATCTCGCGAAGTAAGCCATCCAGCTCCTCGGATATTTGCGCTATCAGATCTCGAGGCTTCACGATCAACTCAGGCAAGTTCTCAGGCAGTTCAGACACCTGCGGCGTGACCATACGTCGTTGTGTGGGAACGACTTTGAAGTCGCTCGCCAGGATGTCACACAGTTTCTTTTGGCCGAGCTCACCCAATATCTGGTTATCACTCGCTGTCGCCGTGCTGCTGCTGTCGCCATTTCCGTTCGCTGGGCCTTTGCTGCTCATATTAGTTTCTGTAACGAGTGTACCATTTACAGAATCATTTTGTGCACCAGTCATACTTTGGCCTCCTCCCTCGAGCGAACGGCTTGGGCTAAGCCCTTGCCCTTGAATGTTTGAAGAAATTGAAATAAACTGCCGTGCAACCTGTTCTGTTTGTATGCAAGTCTGTCTTCAAACAAATTGGATACAAGAGCTTGCTGAGTTCCCAATCTCTTCACAGCCTCCCAGTGCAACTACTCTATTGATACGCAGAGTACAGGTCGAGATTCTCAGATCCAAAGCCGTCTGCCCGAGAGGGGAGGGAAATGTTGGTTGCGGTACTGATGTGAAGGGGGAATGGTCAATATCAATCACTCAAATTACTGTGATTTGAAAGAGCACACGAAACTAATGTTACACACCAAGACCAATCGACCTACACGAAATTATTCAGAGTCGATGTTTTCGTCCCCGGTGTTTGTGCTTCGATTGTTGTCTGATCTGATTTCCAGAACAGTGGCTACGAGAGAACTTCGTTGCTGACTTAGCTCGAACCAAAGTGTCCCAGAGACTGCAGCAGCAACTCTGAAAGGGTTACGCCGCAAGCACAACAAAAAGAACAATCCGAGGTGAGAGAAAAAGCAGGAGCGGCAGTAGCAGCAGCTCTCGGGAGGTGTGTGGAAGCGATGACGAGGGGAGGAGCGGCAGGCGCGGAGGGGAGCGGCGCGAGCGGGAGGGGAGGGGCAACAAGGGTGGTCATGATACAAGGGTGGGTAGTGTATAGAATTTGGTAGGGTAGTCTCAAATGGTTTGAGCCAGTATCCATTTCAGCAATGCGTTGAAAGAGTAGGGTGGGGGTAAAATGATGGTAATGGACGGGTACACTGAAAACTTGCTCGAAATCTTCAAAAGGTTCAAAGCGTTGGAAGCCATGGATAGGACAGATCCGAGGGTGCTTGAACGTTCCGATGGAGGTAGGGGTGGGGTACCCCTTGGCTAGCAAGGGATGGGATGCATGAAAGGTTCACCAATAGCTAGGGGGTAGTATCAGGATTCGAGGTGGTAATGGGGGTCATAGTTCATGTGTGCACCGGTGAAATTCCTGGGTAATCAAGGGGTCCTTCGGGGTACTTCTGAACGTGACAGCACGGGTACTGAATAATGGTTACTGGTAGGGGTCGTCGGCGCACGACCATCTTGAGTACCCCTACCGACTAATGTCCTGATTCTCGTAGGGTGGTACATCCGCTCCATGGTATTTGAATCTCTTTACTCGGACCCCTCATATGGACCTATCAAGTACCCCCTCTACACAACTTTCAAACCAAAGTACACCCCCACCCCTGTTTCAAATCGACACCCAGCAGCAATTGGCAAATATTTCGAAAATACTCCAGAATTGTCACAAGTTTCATCTACTTTTTCTTTTCAAATTTGAAATTTTGAGTTTAAGAAATCAACATGTGTTGAAGTAAGAAATATACCCCACCCTCTTTCACCGTCCCTCAAAAATTATCGAAGGAAATGATAACCAATAAACAGCTTATATCAAGGGGATTGAACTGAAAACAAGCAACTTTTGGTTATTATAACAGGGTCCTTACTTTAGAATACAGTAGGGTGGGGGTACATGCACGTGCAATGATTTGTGGGTGGGTGGGGTACTGACATTTCTGATTGTACCCTATGATTTGCAGGAAGCAAGTGGGGTAATTTCGAGAAGGGTGGGTAGTGAGATCTTTCATCATGTCATGGATTGCACGGCCAGAAAGTGTCTTTGGGTGGGGTGGGTACCACCACCCCATCAAATCTCTCTTTGACACATGGGTGATCAGTAAAAGTAGTAAAGAGGTACAGATGGGTTTAAAAAGATATGGTATCTTATTTTTATTAAAGATAGTACTAATTATATAGTCTCGTACATGACAATAATATTTATATAGGTACGATAGTCAATTCACTCATATGAACACCTATGTGGTACCGTGTGGTAGCCTAGAACTACTGATGAAGGTGTACCAATTCTTCAAACAGTACTTATCTGCACCCGGCTGCTTTCCATTACGATCACAAACTTATCATGCCACACGCTAGCGGCAGCGGCGCCCGGCCGCCAAGTCAGCAGCATTGTCATCAGGTAGGCCCTTCAAAAATATTCATTTCTCCCAAGAAGATTTGATTATCCAGGAGAAAATGTCATACAAAATTTACGATCATTTCAATGCGCCTGGTCTGCCCTCATTCTCGGTTCCACGTGGACCTCAGCCCGTACGTATCTCCCGAGTGCAACCTGAACTGATCAACCCGGTACAGTTTTAAAAGTAGGTTTTATATTGTACCGAATATGGTTCTGCACAAATCAAAATGTGTTTTACAAGTTACAAACTTTAAAAGTGTGTTTTATTTCCCCCGCCCATAAATAGGTAGTCGCCCTGCCTCCACCCTCCCACGACACGACGCGACAATGCAAGGAGCAGGGAGAGGAGCGTGCATGCGACTCATGTATGCAGGACACTCAGGACCGGAGGCAATGAGATTCATGGGTGGCTGCTGTGCCAAGGCAGGACCAGTTGGTGGGCCACTGTCTCTCCGAGGTGGATTTGGAACTGGCGCCATGTTCGGAAAAGGAGGATGGGGCAAAGGGAAGGAATGCAAGTATGGACGATGGGGAGAGTCCGGAAAGGCGATCGAATTCACTTCCTCGTACAAGAATGCCGATGCGGGAGCTTTTTCCGGAGCTGGAACCGGAGATTCCCAAGAAGCTCAGTTCACACAGCAGGAGATGTGGAGGGGCAGAGGTCGCTGTAGGAAGGGGTACGGCATGGGCCAAGGAGGTTTTGGAACTGGACAATGCAAAAAAGGCGATTTTCCAAGGAGTTGCCGTAAGCAAGCCATGCATGGAAGCAGGCAGGGTGCCACCGCGGAAGTTGCTGCCTCGAACGAGGCCAACGACTCGTCTCCTTCAAATGTGCCTGGCAACTGTTGCAAAGGCAGACGAATGGGACGGAGGAACTGCAGGCAGCCAGCGATGGCAAATGCTCCAGGAGATCATGTCTAGGAGCCTATGAAAATTAGCTCCTCACAGACTCTAATGGGCGAAAGGGGGCGAGGAGGAGAATGAGTAAGTTTGTTTCAAGAAATCAAATCTTTCGCGGTTTTGATGCGATTTCATGTTGTGCTTAATTCTTTCTTTCTCTGTGTGTGAAGTGTGTATCAAGTGAGGATCGAGCCCATGTTTCGCTTAAAAAGAATTCTGAATACAGAAGTCATCAAAACTCCGTGCGTCCTTCATTTCCATGTTTGACAGCCTTGAGTTCGCCAATTTCACCTCCGATTTCGCTTTCCCCAGACTCTAAACGAAAAGTCAACATATTGTCTTTTTTGGTTTGTGTCAATCTTGCTGTTGAATCGTTTTCCCGTTGCTCAGTTGCTTATATGATCAACAGTTGCTGCCTAACATGCCAGTTCAAGGTCTCAGCTCCTGACGCCACCATTACGGGGGAACTGAGATCTTGGAGCATCAATGGTGCACAGCCCATGTGTAAAAGACTTTTACACAAGTTCTTCTCCTTGGGCAGATTTACCATCCCCAAACTTGTTATGCTTGAGAACTGTCCTCTCGTCCCCACAGCAGAAACAAGTCACCCTTCGAAGCTTCATGTCGGCGTACTGCAAGTGAAGGGACCCATGACTGGGCAATACAAACACTCACCCTTCCTGTCTGCCTGGCCTACCGACGGACGGACAGACTGCAGCAATCCTGCCTTCTGTAACTCTTCCCCACCCCCCCTCCCCCCTTTCCCTTCTTTTCCTCCCTCTCCTCTTTCGTGGAACTTCCTCTCATGCTCGTCTTGCCCTCTCTCTGGAGCATCCTTCGTTGCCAGACCATCTCTGACCAGCACAACCCCTTTCCCCCCCTCCCCCCTCCTCCCATCCCCTCCCTTTCCTGCCAGTTCCATGCGTGCCACCGATTCCATCTCCTGCTTCATCCGTTCAAACTTGCCACAAAGATCATATAAATAGTTGTAGACAAGTCTTTTGTACCAGAAAAAGTGAGAATAAAACCTGGTTTATATCGTTGTACCAGGAAAATTGGATTTCGCTCAGTCTCTAGGCGACCCTTTCCTAGCCTACGGCAGGGCTTCCCGCGACCCATAGTTAGAAAATCTCAAGAATGCCTGACGGTGACAGTGTGACAAGTTGGTCCTTGAAGTCAAAGTAATGTTTGAGTTTTGGTCATGAAGAAAAAGTATGATACTTAGTTTTGGTCATGAAGGAAAAGTAATACTCTAAATTGTCAACGAAGTCAAAGCATGAAAAGCTGCTAGGGAGGAGCAGGAGCAGGAGCAGGAGGGCATGCATGAAGCAATATGAGAGCGACGTAGATGTGCCAGAAAGTTGGACATGTGAGAGAAAAGGAGGATGTGCGTGTGTGGAGGAACAGTTTTGCTTCCGATCTTTGTGCACTACGAATGACTGAGTGTTTCTTGATTATAGATATACCTCAGCACTATGAAGTTCGCATTGGCCCTGTCGCTGGTTTTAATGATCTCTCCTGTTACTTCTTTCCTCACCTACACCGAACCTCGTGAATCGATCTTTTCCAGTGTGCGAGAGAGGGCAGTGAGTGTCTTGAGCTCTCCTTGCAGAGGATCGGATCCGGTAACAGCATGGAAGCGAAAAGACCTCCAGGAAGTCGAACTTTACAGAGAGAAGAATTTGCTCTAGATACCCCCAAGTCGAGGTTTTATCTTAACCCCTTTCCCCTCAAGCCATACAACACTGAGAGGAAGACAAGACAATAGCGAAGAAGATAGATGACAACATCTACACCTTCGAGCAGGAGCACGGCTTTGCCAACGTTTCTGTCAACTTCAGGATGACAGTGGTCAGGCTCAACGATGGAGGACTCTGAGTGCATGCCCCCGTAGCCCCGACTGAGGAATGTGTAGCCATGATGAAGAAGCTAGGAGAGTTGAAGTACGTTGTCCTCCCCACCACGGGCCTCGAGCACAAGACTGAGATCTTCATGAAGCCCTTCATGAGCTACTTCCCCAACGCCAAGGCCTACGTCGGTAGTGGATCTGGCCAATCGACCTCTCCCGCATGCGGTAAGGTGTATTTGACGTATATGACCTCGGGTTCAAGGTGAGCTAGCGAGCCCCTAGCCCTCTTGTTCCTGACATTGGCCAGGTGGAGGGAGTGCTGCAAGACATGGACCCCAACGTTCCCTGGTCGAAGGAGATCGAGCAGAAGGTGGTGTATGCCGAGGTTGGCATCGGGAAGACCAGTGAGGTCGCCTTCTTCCACAAGAAGTCGTCGACGCTCTTCGTCACTGACGCGGTCATCTTCATCCCTCCCGAGGCCCCGGAGGTCTTACAGGCCTACGGGGAGGAGGAGAACAAGTGGAAGGGGTCAGCTCTTCCTCGGTCTCCCCTAAGTTCCCTCATTCGACGTGATAGCAGGGAAGCTCTTCGTCAGCCCGGTTATGAGAACTTTCATCTATGAGCGGACGCCGGACGAGACCAGGGACTGGATCCAGCGCATCTGCCAATGGAGGTTCAGGAGGATTATCCCGGCACATCTCAACGCTCCTGTCGCTGCTGGGCCCGCAGACTTCAAGGAGGCGTTCAAGTTCCTTGACGTACCCACGTCGAATCCCCTCCCGAGGGCGACATGGGCCCCCTTAACCCCATCAGCAAGCTCCTCACCCTCTCCTGCTCGTCCCGGCTCGAGCGGCAGATCGCCTGTGAGAGCTGGAGGATAGTGAACCATCTGAGTGATTAAACCAACATGTCGTGAAGAGATTCGCCTTCAGCATAGTCCAATAGGCTGAATAGCGTCGTTCACATTATTCCTTAAGGTGGTCACCAGTCCTGCTCACTCGTGGGGTTAACGCGCTGAATTTCACACAATCAGTCCAGAAACCTTCAGGTGAGTTTCAGTGGACAAGTGTCGGTGCGATGTCAACGTCTTATGTGATAACGAATTCATGTCGAAGAATCATAGCAGGGTAAGAAAGGTTCATTGTTGAATATTCTTTGAGGCCAAAAGGGCCAACCTTTCTGAAGCTTTCTTCATATCACTGCCGGGACTCGCTCGACAAAAATCTCAACCTCTTAAGATTCGCCATTGAATCGATCAGGTTCTGCCTTCACCAGTAGCTCGTGGGCAAGAAAGAGAGAGTACAAGGGCACGCAACGCCCTGCCGCCTCCTATCGTTCTGCTCTCACGAATTTCATCTTCAAGGGGCATCGTAACCCTCTAGTGGTGGTCATGCTCATACTCAAAGGAAGCCCGATCAGAATCCAAAGAACTATCATGATTCCATGCATGGTAGACGACGAGAGGCAATCAGATGACTGCAGAAAGAGGGGAAGCACTCGTATAGTTGTACCTCCTAATGTAATCCAGCTTGACAGCTTGCTGGCCTTCAGGCTGCTGCCTTGGTGAAGGGAACATCCTTCCACGTCTTCGCTCATCAACCCTGCCAGTGAACCCTGACACGTTCTTTGTGCTGCTTCAGTGTTGTCTAACGAACCATATAGGACTTGGTTCCTCGAGAGATCTTGAAGTTGAAATGTTGAGCTTCAGTGGCAACCTAACAGTCATAGTCAGCAAGCCACGTCCCCGGAGCTTCCGGCGCCCAAGCTCCGGGCAAGACGTGGACGTCAACGCCCTCAGCATCCTCCGCACTACCCACGGCTTCATGGTCCGTCGGTGCATCCGACCTGCTGATGATACTGCTCCAGCCTCTGAGCTACCGAAGCCGTGGGTAGTGCGGAGGATGCTGAGGGCGTTGACGTCCACGTGTAAAAGACGATCTCAGGCCTCTTAGCGAGTACACGCGCACAGGTGTCAAACACACAAAGCGCTCTCTGAGCTTCTTGCACTCTTCACGGCAACCCGCAGGCATTCTGCTCTCCCCTTGCGATGAGCGCCTTCCAGGACCCCCGGGGTAGTCATGGTGCTGCTACTCAGATAGCCCTTACTTCAAAGCCTTGAGAGTCGCAACGGTTCTGGACTTGTACGTCGGTTGCTATGAGCAGAGAAGGACTAAAACGGACGGAGATCATTATGTCCAGGTCGGCCAGCCGAGGACTACTGTTGAGATCCTACTGAAACAACACCAGCATCGTCAGCAGCTGTTAAATCTTTGATAACCTTCAAGCCTCCAAATTTCCTCAATCATGATCCTGATGGGTCTCAGGTTTCAAGCTTTGTTTTCCTCTTCTGCACCCCTCTCTGCCTCTGCCTCTGCCTCTGCCTTTGCCTCACTTGCAAGGTTCCTCGTCTTCTGCCTCTCTCTTGCTCCTTCCCGCTCCTTCTCCTTGTCTGCATACAACATCATGACAACTAGAAGCACAGCCAGCCAACCTCACCTGCCGCCCTGCCTCACATGACATTCTCCCGCATCGGCCTGGATCTCCTCCTCTTCTGCAGCATTTGCTGTAAAGCACATCAGTGGCTGATCTGCCTGCTCCTCTCCTATAACCTCATACTGCGGAATCTCCTTCAGAATGTACTCAAAGTCCCTGCTCAAGCTCACGATCAGACGATCGTGAGTCGGAGGACAAGGCAGAGCACCAGTGCTTTCCCCTGTGCCCCGAACGGAGAGCCTTCTCGTATCCCTTGTCTATGGGGCAAGAGCGACTGGCATTGAAGGCCTGGGCGACAAAAGCCATGGGAACAACCTCAACGGAAAGTGAGCAAGAAACAGAGATGCGGGAAGAGGAGGTAGGTAAGAAGAGAGAGATGCTGAAAGGAGCGGAGGATAGAAACGTTGTTTGAAAGGAATGCTATGTTGAGAAGAGAGAGGAAGGGGCATCGGAGGTCTACCAAGGTTGGCCGGGCGCTTCTTTTGCGTAGGAGGTACCAAGTTTCGTTGTTTACCCTATAGTGCATGTAGCTGAAGAAAAACGTCAGCAGAACCTCAGCACAGTCCTCGTCATCTCACCCGAACATATCGATGAAATTGACGCCCTCTGCCTTTACTGTACAATATTCACCACATCCAGGGGAGCCATCCCCCTGCCCTGCTGTAGCTCCTGCATCTTGCTCCTGGCTCCCTTGCAGGGCATCTCCCTCCTTCTCCATCACGCGGTCCATCACTGCGTCCACGGGTGAGGAGAGGATCGCTGAGATCGCCCGCTGGTCATCCGTCCCACCCTCTTCCCTCCCTGTCGGGCAGACACTGCATGAGCCGGATGGCTGCTGGACTCCTGCTGCATGAGCAGTGGCCTCCAAAGAGAAAGGCTGGAGGCAGAGGGGAGTCAACAAGCACGAAGAAGAGTACACAAACAACGACGAGGACAGGACTGACGTCAAACAAGTGAGATCGAGGAGGAGGGAGCGCAAAGGACATGAGATCAGCAGCACAGACCTCCGAGTTTTCTCTCTTGTGGTCTTTGCAACCTTTCTTGGACGGGTAGAACCTGTCGAGAGAAACCTGGGACGACTCATGCGAGTTGAAGTGATAGTAAGTGATAAAGGATCCCCTGAGAAAAATAAGCGTCAAGAACAAGGGGAGTGATGAGTTCTTGACGCTCATTTTTCTGATGAGTTTCGTTATCAGAAAGGCGAAAGATAGGCGAGATATGTTGTAAAAGCATAACAAGGATGTCAACATCTGAGCGCCATTACCGGATAGCATGAGCGGTTCTAGAGTGGCATAAGATCGGATACCATGCAACGGCAAACCTGCAAGAGAGTCAGTGGGTAGTGGAACATACATGCTTCCTCCTCTGACACGCATGCTTCCTCCTCTGACACGCATGCTTCCTCCTCTCACCATGAGCGTTCGAGCACAAGATCGTCATTGCTGATTTCCATCAGGATGTGCGACAGCAGCTCCTCTTCCCTCTCGCCCTCCTGCACCGATAGGGTCAGCAACGAGTCAGCACCGTCGAGCTCGCAGACGGAGACGTCACCGTCTTCAAAGAAGGCAGCTCCAGAATCCCATCATACAAGGGAGGTCGTTCTCCAGGGCTTCTCTCCTCGTAGAACTACGGTCCCTTTGTCAACTCCCGTGTGAAACGCGCATGCTCCCTCGCTCACCTCGAAGACTGCTTCGCTTTGCATGTCGCCAGATGAGGCTGCAGAACGTGGCCGGTAAGCTTTCCAGTGTCTTCACCATCATCCATCAGCCTACCGCCGTCACCTCCATTCCTCGTCTGCCTTCCGTCTGGGCCTGCTCTCTTCTCCTGCTCGTCCCGCAACTCGCCTGGCAGACCTTCTGCCATTGAAAGTGAGTCTCGACATGCCGCCTGACCCCGCAGGCCTACTTTGAGCACGTCGGTCAGTGAGCTGCTGGCTGCTGTCCTGCTCCCCTTTGGAACTCTGCGTTGCGGGCCAGCTCACAGCAGAGGTATAAGAGTACTTGGGACAAGACGATCCTTGTCCTTGATTGCAAGGCCGCCCGCCAGAGTTTGAGCCGTCCCCTCCTGCCTCCATCCCAGCATCTTCGTACGGGTTGATACCTCCTTGTATCTGGGCAGACACTCGACTAGCCCATGAGAGCGAAGCAGCTTCCTCCCTCCTCTGCTGAGCCTCCAGTGCCTGATGACCAACATCATGCGTGATCGCGGAACAGTTACACTCTCACCAGCTTAGCAGTTTTGATCTCCTCCTCTCGTCTTTGCTTGATCTCAGCGAGCTCGACACATAGGGGATAGCTCGGTGAGTCCTTCCGAACAAACAACTGCACAAAGGGGAAAAGAGTCAACTGGAGCAAAGGTGCTGGCGAGTTGAGAACAGAAGAGAAAGACGAGAGTAGAGCTGAACAAAGAAGATAGACAGCACCGACCTTGATCGCAGACAGGTGAGGCACGTAGAAAGCTGGCGTGATCTCTGCAGCAATATGGTGCGTCTTCCCATACAGCAATCATTCTCGCGCAGACGACGGACAAAAACCAACCTGAGTGGTGGAACTTTTCAGGAGGATGGGAACTTCAAACCCGTAAGGCTTGTCGAACCATTCCCACAGCTGCCTCAGACTAGCACAAGGACTCAACAACAAGAATCCACAGGATTCCTCCTCGTTGCAGACCTGAAACTTCCCTTGGGCACCTTTGGGACAACTGCCTGAAAGAAGAAATAGATGTTCTCATCTGCAGCACCAGACTGTTTAGGATGCAATCGGCACAATCATGACAGCATAACACCTGATGTTGGTTTCCCGTCTTTGTTGATGTATTTCTGATTTGATTGAGCATCACATCAACACAAAAAGATGAAACACCCCACCTTCCGCGATGCATTCAAACCAGAGGTTGTAGAGTCGACCGAGGTCGTGTGCGAGGTTTCAGAAACATCGTCAGGCCTGATATCTCCCGACACCCTCACTCCCTGCGATCTCGTGTACTCTGCATTCTGGATCTGGATGAACTGGTTCAAAGACGTTGACCCGGTCGTCTTGGTAACAGCTTCCGTCTCGTCCTGCGACACATGCAAAACTTCACGAGAGACAGACAAGGAGCTGACAGTCTGCTGTGCAGTCTGCTGATACTGGAATTGCGTTATTGGCACTGCAGTAGGCTGTGCGGGTGCAGGGAAAAAGTAGGCTCCCTGTGCTTGCCCGTCGGTGCCCTGCATCACCATGTAATATTCCGGCTGGGCACCTAACAGGGGACTTGTGTTGCTCTGGCTGTCGCCGTTGCCGTTCGCGGGGCCTATGTTGCTCTTGAATGTTTCTGTTATCAAGCTGAGTGGATACCACTTCTGCAAACTCCAATCTCAATGCTGTATATAGCATCGACAGCAGCTCCTTTACCTCAGCCTGGACGCCCTGCGCCATCCAGGAATCGCCGGGTGACACAGGAAGAGCCATTTGGGAGTGCAAGGGACTTTGCGCTGCTGTTCCGATGTTACCTCTTCCCTCGTGAGATCCACTCTTAGTGGAGGGAGCGCAGAGCTGGGAACCATCGGTAATAGTCATTCACGATAAGGAAGGTGTCTCGGACATCAAACCTCAGCGAAGCTCCCAGACGTTTGGAGGACCTGCAATGCTCTGGCAAACTCCTCAAGAATATCTTGTACGGTGTAGTCGTTGACGTATCTCCCCAAGTCAAGGTTGATGTCGAAAGGATCCTCTATGCAAAATATATGCCTGTGACCCGTGAGCAAGTTGAAATGTTTTGGATGAAGGGCTCTTACCTGTTTCTGAAGTCTTCCGAGGTATCCCATCCCTTCGCCTTCTTCCTGAGAAGCCTTCCACTTCGTATACTCACAACTCCCTTATCAATCGGAAAGACTGGAAACATGCTTTAGTCGGCGTTGCTGCATCCATTCCGGTGTACCATTGGAGTAGAAGTGGAAGAACCCAACGAGAAGAAGCCCCAGCGATGAACGATTGTTCCTTTCACCGAAACCTGGAGAACTTTCATCGAAGAAACGAGCCTTGCACTGTTACTCGCTAATGTCTCAACGTTTCTGTAGAAGTAGCAGTCGTACACATCTCCGTCACAGGAAACAGCAAACGATGGATCGTTGTTCAGCGTGGCCTGTACGCGCCGCAGACTTTGCAAGCACGGCAGCACTCTTTCATACTGCAGGTATTGGATTACCATCAACGTATACGTGTAAGAACTCAGATAGCCTCTGAAGGTTTTGTGAATTCGACGTTGCTTCACCCAGTGCTTGATGCACATGATCAGCGGCCTGACCCTCTTGTCCAGCATGGTGTATGTGAACAGCAAGTCGGTATTGATACAGGCAAGGACATTGTTGACACTCAGATCGCAGTCAAAGACAAAATCAAGACCGTCTTGCGCCTTGAACTTGATGATAGGAACTCGGGCATAGGGCAGAGCCTCAACATTCAACATTCCTTCCCTTTCCAGCAGCCTAGCAAGACCAATGAGAAAAGATATAAATTTTTCTTTCTGTGAGTTTGCCGTCATCATGCAATTGTCCGCGAACCAGCAGGATTCAAGCTGTGTGTTCATAAACACTCCTTGACTCTTTTGAATCTCATCTTCAGGAACAACAACACACAAGTCTACATCTGAGCCCTTGGAGCAAAGGTTGCTCCCAAATGAACCAAACATCTGTACTCTCGAATTTGGATAAGTCCTTGCAATGGTCGTGTTCAATGTTGTACAGACGCTAATCTTACGATCGATTTCTTCTCTAGGAGGACAGATCTCCGCCACAAAACTCATGCAATCATTAGAAAGGAGATCCATATGTTCGGCTTTCACCTTGGGGTTCACAATGCTCGTACACAAAGTTGGCGGTTGTGTGTCGAGACTGGTCGTGAGGTGCTCATCGCTGACCCCTGCAGCACCCCTGTAATAGGCTCCCTTGATCTCGGCAACATACAGCGATGGCAGCATGCTTGGGTTTATTAAAATCGGCGAGCACTGATTTGCCTGAATCCCTCAGCTCCACCCTGTTCATTGCCCGGTCATTACCGTGGGAAATCTCCCGCCAAGACAGTTTCAAGAAAAGAATGCAAACAAAAGGGCAAGCTCAGCAGAAGATACCAATCCTTGAAAAGACATGAATATGTTTCTTCTCCTCCTCAACCTCCTAGTACGCTAACTTATACCTCTTGCACATATCCAGCTCAGATTTGTGGTCAAAGAAAAAGAAACCCTCCTTCTGGACTGAAAGCAACATGTAGAGGGGAAACGTTTCGATCAACGAGCTGTCTATCTGCCATGACATATGCAGGTGGTGGTAGGGGGGGGGGGGGGGGGGTAGGTGGATGACGAGTCAAAACTGATCGTTTGAAATCAGATGGAAAGGAAGCCTAGGTAGTATGATAGCCTCTAAATACTGGGATACTTCTTATGAAATATCGACCCTTGACGCGAGCTGCACATGGTCATTTCAGCTTTATATACATGTACCCACCCCTGCTCTGTACCCGAGCTTCAAAATTTCATAGCAGCGAGCTAGGAACCGGGGTTTATTAGACCGAGGGTATAGACTCTGGGGGTGGGTGGGTGATATGACCCCGCCTCAGAGATTTACAATATAGTTTTATTCAAAATTATGATTCATAAGACATTATTGCTGCTTCAAGAATGTTGAAAGTTTTGAAGTTTAAAGTTTATTGAGTTCACTCTACAAGAGAGTTCTGATCTATTGAGGTTCATAAGAAAGAGTTTTGTCGGCATCTATCTCACCGAAGATGCACAACTCGGGTCTCTCTTCTCCTTGGGCACTGATTTCCGTACTGCAAGTGAAGGGACCCATGACTGGACGCTGCTAGCAGGCTCTGATCGCCCCGCCCGGGGGGCTGGGGGGGCCGGCAGCCTTGCCAAAGGCAGTCACTGAGACTCCGGGACCGTACGCCGCCTAACTGTTCAAGCCGGGTTCCGAGTTCAAACTTACCACAAAGACTTTGATGAGTGAAACATTAGTAGGAGAATGAAAAATAACTTAACTCCTTGTTGCCTTGCCCAATGCTGCGGCTGGTTGACAGTGCAGGCGTTCGGCGCTCCATGCGCGCCATGCACGCGATGCCCTCCTTGCCCATCTCATCGTTCCTGCCTTGCCAACGTCTCTGCTACTCTAAAGGAAGCAGCAGGAGGATCGGCACCACCGGTAAGTGAGACTCAGGGGACATGCCAAGGTCCCTCAAGTGCCGGGGGGGAGGGATCGGGAGTTTTGGAGCAGGGGCTGACTATAAAATCCCTTGCTATCAGGAGAAATGACCGGAAGAGGATTGATGTGCCGTGTTAGCTGCAGCAAGAGCGATCTTCTGACGAACCGCTACTTCAGACCCTTCAGCTCCCGAGGTGAGGACATGAAAGCTTGGGCTGGTACTCACTCAATTTGAACAAGCTGGCGGGAGGACAACAGCACGTCGTGTCTGAACAGATACAGTAAACGCATCACCCAGGAGTTGTCTCAAGGAGCATCTCAAGCCATGTTGTATGCTACCGGCATGAAGGAGGAGGACATGAGCAAGGCTCAAGTCGGCATCGCCAGCGTGTGGTGGGAAGGAAACCCCTGCAACATGCACTTGCTGGACCTCGCGGCGGCGGTGAAGGTTGGAGTGCACGAGGCGGGCATGCAGGGGATGCGATTCAACACCATAGGAGTGTCGGACGCCATCTCGATGGGCACAGACGGCATGTCCTACTCCCTCCAGTCTCGGGACATCATCGCCGACTCGATCGAGACCGTCATGGGAGCACATTTCTACGACGCCAACATCTCAATCCCTGGTTGCGACAAGAACATGCCTGGTCCCTCAGCTCTCCCCCTCTTTGCCCTGCTGACTGTTGGTATCGAAGGAACGATCATCGCCATGGCAAGGCTCGATCGCCCGTCGCTCATGGTACGATCTGACCTGCATGACTGCCGCTGGTCAGCCGATGGCTGATGAACGTCTCCTCGCAGCTGTACGGAGGAACCATCCGAGCCGGAGGAGCTCCTTCCATCGGTCGGCCAGTGCTGGACGTGATCGCAGCATACGAGTCTTATGGGGAGTTGGCGTACGGAAAGATCAACTTGGAGGAGAGGAACAAGATCGTCCAGAGCTGCTGTCCTGGACCTGGAGCATGCGGAGGCATGTACACGGCGAACACGATGGCAACAGCGATAGAGGCGATGGGAATGTCGCTGCCTTACTCTTCCTCATCACCAGCTGACTCGGAGGAGAAGATGAAGGAGTGCAGGTGAGGGAGGAGGAGTGAGGAGGAGCGAAAATGGTAGAGTGGAAGGGAGACGGAAGGGATGGTGAAATAGAAAGCGGGAATGGAAACATCGAAAGGGAATGGAGGGAGACAGGAGTCAATGGAGGAAAGAGAGCGAGGGGATATGAGTGTGCGAGGATGGAGAGGAGAGAGAAGGGAGGAGCATGAAGAAGGAGGAGGAGGAGGGTGGAGAGAGAAGCCGATGGGTCGTAACGTTAATCACATCAGAGATGCGGGAAAGGCAATCCGAACATTGTTGGAGAAAGACATCAAGCCGTCGATGATCATGACTGAAGCTGCTTTCCGCAACGCCATGGTAGTGAGGCAGGAAGGGAGGCAGGAGGCAGGAGGCAGGAGGCAGGAGGCAGGAGGCAGGAGGCAGGAGGCAGGAGGCAGGAGGCAGGAGGCAGGGAGGCATGCATGCCGGAGGGGCAGGCAGGCAGGCAGGCAGGCAGGCAGGCAGGGAATGGGTCAGGAAGTGAGGCTCGAGCATGGCAAGGATGTGAAGATGGAGCAGGTGATGGTGATGGTGACGGGAGGGAGCACGAACGCTGTGCTGCATCTCATCGCAATGGCACGCGCAGTGGGGGTGAAGCTGACCATCGATGACTTCCAGAAGGTGATGGAGGAGAGGAGGGGGGGGATGGGGAAGGAAGTTGAAAGGAGGAACAGGAAGGAGGAAGGAAGGAGGGGAGGGAACAGGGACGAGGAACGATGATGGAAAGAGGCCAAGGCAGGGAGAGGAAGGGAGTGGACGGAGGGGATTAAAGAGAAAGAAGCGGAGGAGAGAGGAGGGAGCATGATACGTTTCAAGGTGAGCGATTCGACACCCTTCCTTGCGGACATGAAGCCGTCGGGGAAGCATGTGATGGAGGACCTGCACAAGGTGGGAGGGACGCCGGCGCTGATGAAGTACCTGGTGGAGAAGGTAGACACCTGCTTCCTCCTCCTCCTCCTCCTCCTCCTCCTCCTCCTCCTCCCACGTGTGACGGGGGATCGCAGCACCTCATCGATGACAGCCAGCTCACGGTGACGGGGAAGAGCATCGGAGAGAACCTGCACGGGCTCCCCTCCCTCCTCAAGGACCAGAAGGTGATCTTTCCAGTCGAGCAGCCGATCAAGAAGTCCGGACATCTCCAGATCCTCTACGGCAACATCGCACCGGAGGGGGCAGTAGCCAAGATCACAGGGAAGGAGGGGGAGATGTTCGAGGGGGAGGCCATCGTCTTCGACTCCGAAGAGGAGATGCTCTCCGCCCTCTCCCGCAAGGAGATCCGGCCCGGCATGGTGGTCGTGATCAGGTACGAGGGGCCCCAGGGAGGGCCTGGCATGCCGGAGATGCTGACTCCGACCTCCGCCATCATCGGGGCCGGGCTGAGCAAGTCTGTCGCCCTGCTCACCGATGGAAGGTTCTCAGGAGCGACCCACGGCTTCTGCATCGGGCATGTGACACCGGAGGCCCAGCGGGGAGGAGCGATCGCGCTGATCAGGGACGGAGACAGGATCAGGATTGATGCTCGTCCCCAGAGGAGGTCCATCGACGTGCTCCTGTCCCCCGAGATTCTGGAGGAGAGGAGGAAGGCGTGGAAAGCCCCTCCTCTCAAGGCGAGCAGAGGAACGCTGTACAAGTACATCAAGTGCGTATCGTCTGCGTCAACGGGTGAGGAGGAGGATGAGAGATGTGCTGGTGGTGACGAACGTCTTGCAGGCTGCATCACCGACGAATGAGAAGCTCAGAGGAGGAGGAGGAGGAGGAGAAGCAAGGAAGAGAGATGAGTGCAGATGGGATGGAGGAAACTTGTATCGATCAGACTGAGAGCAGATGGAGTCGTTGACATCAATGTCACATGATATGTTACACTTCAAGACATCAGATAATACAAACTGATCTGTACAAGCTGCTTCGTCACGTTCAATCGTCCTGGAAACCTCCTTCTCTGTCCCAGGCATAGAGCGGAGGGGGAGGAAGAACTCTCGAGGAAAGGAGCGAAGGGTTGTTCGTGGCGGTGAAGAGAAACTGAAACGGATGCGTCACTTGACATGGAGAGAGGGAAGAACAAGAACAAGAACGACTAAGAGGAAGTTGAGGGTGGTGGAGGAAGGAATGGGGCACAGTATGGAACAAGAAGGTAGGGGACAGGGAGGGAGGGAGGGAGGGAGGGAGGGAGGGAGGGAGGGAGGGAGGGAGGGAGGGAGGGGAGGGAGGGAGGGAGGGAGGGAGGGAGGGAGGGGAGGGAGGGAGGGAGGCGGTTGGCGGGAGGGGTCGAGGGTCGTGAGAGGATGGAGAGAGCTGCTTCAACATCTCCGTTAGTCTGCTTGAGAGCGTCGGAAGCCTTTGAGGAGAGCAGCGAGTCAGTGCTGGGGGATGACGAGGAGGAGAACCTGATGAGGGTCGCAGGAGGGAAAAGCCTCGATAAGTCTCATCACCTTGTACTCGAGCTGAACGAGCTTGTTAGCGATGTGAAGAAAACCCCTCCTCTCCTCTCCTCTCCTCTCTTTCCCCTCCCTCCCTCCCTCTCCTCCCTCATTCCCATCCTCTTGCTCACAAGAGAACAGCTGTTCTTCCCATAGAGATGCATTTCTGTCTCCACAAGCTGCCAAAGCTGTGAGTTTCCCCCTTCCTCCTCCCCATCCTCTCACTCACTTGACTCCAGAAGTTGAAGTTCGGCGCGATGCATCCTCGTTGAGCCTGCACTTGTCTCACTAACTCCTTGTGCTCGTCCTCCCCCTC